GGCGACGACATGGCGACACAGACAGACAAAATCTTGGGTTTGACGTCGGTCTTACCCGCCGCAGGAGGTGGAAGCTATACTCAAAGTCGGGGAGGGGTCGTGATTTGCAATTCCCTACGGAACCGTGAGAATTGCACTGCCGTAGCCGAGGTTATTTGTCGGCAGGGAAACATACAAACAAAATCTTCGGCGGACCGGACCCTCTCTTTTTCAACTGGCCAACTGTTGTTTGGATGGCGAGACAATTTCCGGTTTTCTTGTCCGTCACAGGAGGCCGAAGCTGATGCTCAAACTCGGGGAGGGGTCATGGTTTGCGAGTCCCTACCGAACCATACTCGCTCGGGGCACCACGTCATGGACATGACAAGAAAAACATCCCCCCAACGAAAACTGCTGAAATTCATGGATAGGTGGGTGAGTGGGGGACCCCAAAACAATGAAACAGTCGCGGGGTTCGAGTTGTTCTGGGTCTCTACCGGCGAAACACACCGTCGACGCTCTGAACCGCTGGAAGCTGTCACACAGCACTGCATGTGCGGCGAACCGTAGGGGCCATGCGCATTGCTTGACGGAAAGAGGCGGCGCCCATTGCCTCCCAAGCAGCAGCCGGGTACACGGGTAGCCTCCTACTCAGCAAGACGCGAAACGATTGCCGTTGACGTTCGATGTTATTGGGGACCCTAACGGCGAAAATGCAACAGAGAGAGAGAGGTAGACTAAAGGACGGGAGACTCGAGAAGACAAGGCATGAACTCTCGTCGAGAAGACGCTCACTATCATCCCTCTGTCCACCGCAGGCTTGAACACGTGTAACGAACGGCGACATCCGATGTATGTGCGCTCAGCAACAACAAACACGACAAAAGAAAAATAGTCGTCGTTTCAGAACTGCTGTGGAGATACGGTAAGTTGGTGGAGAGTTTCTTTCTTTTCTGGTATGAAGTGGCAACAAAGAAGAACACGACCATCTGTCTGTGTAGACTAGAAGCACGACGGACGAACTATTGTCTCAATGCGCTTGCCGTCGCGATAGATGCGCACCGCTACCGCTATACGAACGAGCAGACAGACTGTTGTCAAATCTGACTACGATAACCGTACGACCATTGCAGCACATTCCGACAATAACAGCAGAAACCGCAGCAGCAGCCGCATGTGTACAATGGTCACTCAAGAACAAACGTAAAAAAAAACAAAATGTGGCGCGCAGCACGCAGGACCCTTTTTCGCTGTTCAACCGGCCGTTTCCATGGCGAAACAGGCAAGGACCAGTCAAGGCCGACTCTTGCCGGCCACGGGAGGCGGAAGCCGCTCAAACTCGGGGACGGCTCATGACTTGCGATTCCACACCGAACCATACTCGAGGCGCCACGAGATTTGCACTGTAGCTCGACAACAGCATTTTAGACCGGGTCGGGCAGGGGTTGGGCATGCGAATGAAGCTTTCACGGATATTGAACGATGAGACTGAAGCTAACGCTTCAAAATTCCAAGCCTTGGACGTGTCGGTGGGCATGGTACAATGGGATGTGATGGTGTGTTGACAAGTGGAATGGACGGGGTGCGAGTAAAATGTCCGGGGCCCAGTCATGAACATGGCAAGTAAACACCCCGCCCAACAAAAATTAATGATGGGCGGGTGGCTGGGGGACCCCAACAAACAAAGCATGAAAAATGAAAAAAGAAGATCAAAGACAAGTGAGCCAGGCGCGACAGGCTTGAGGGAGGAGGCAAAAAAAGCATAGAAAAACCACCGTGCGTGGTCTTCGTTCGCTCTGGGCCGCTGGAACATATCACATAGCACTGCATGTCCAGCATTAGGTAGGGCCCCAAGTCGTTTGCTTGACATAAAATAGGTAGCGCACATCGCCTCTCATGCAGCAGCCCGGTGCACGGGTAGTCTCTTACTCAGCAAGATGCAAAACCACTGCGGTTGACGTAGTTCGATATTGTTGGGACCCCACCGGCGAAAGGCGAATGAGAGACAGGTAGACTGAAAGAAGAGGGCGGAGAGAAGACAAGGCATTCACGCTCGAGAAGACACTCACTCACTCTCTCTCGTCCCTTGGGCCCACCGCAGGCTGTCAGACATCTGTACCGAACGGCGGTATCCGAAGTGGGCTCAGCAACGACAAACACAACAACCACAAGTCGCCGAGATGGAACTAGACTAGAGTAGTGCGGACTTGCATCCTTCTGTGACGAAGTGAGAACAAAAAACATGACTACACGGACGAACTAGTCCGTCCGCGATAGATGTGCACCACTGCACAGAGCAGCAGACTGTTGGTTGTCATTCCTCACTTTCTGTTGAAATTAAGATTGTGCTGCCATCTACCTTATCGCTCAAGTTACGACTGACTACGCAGCAGACTCAAAAAGCATCAACACCCTTATTCGATGTATGCCATCCCTTCTTCCCCTCGCTGCCTCGGCAAGGTTTTGCTTAGGCATGACCCAAAGCGAGGGGGGGGGTCTTTCTAGCGAGGAGGGCTAGACTCACCCTCAAGGGACCGATACCTTCTTGCTACGGCGCACCCGCCGCGAGGCGTGCGTAGTGGTGGAGTTGGGTCGGCACTGGTGCGTCAGGTACAAAGGTGCAGATGCGCGGGCCTCGAGGCCGTCGGTGCAGGCAGCAATGCCCATCTCATCTTTGTGCGCGGAGGCAGACGCCATCAGAAAGGTGGACGGGCACTATGTACACGGCCCTATGTTTGCTAGAGGGAGCTGTACTGTCTCAGTAACCTGGTTTTGCCATCAAATGAGGAGTGGACAGGTGGTGACGAGCTGACTGGGCTGGTTGACCCTTCGGCGCGAGAATTTTCAGACCAAGAACCCTAAGCGCAACGAGGGAGAAAGCGAGGAACCAACTGGGAAGGACAGCAACGAGAGCGTGTACGAAGCGGAGCGGGTCGAGTTTGATCGTGCTAGGACTGGCCACAGCGACACCGGAGAAGCGGCGCCGGAGCAGCGGCACCGGAGCAGCAGCGGAACCGGAGCAGCCGGACGGCACATCGAACCGTGTCGCACGGACAAACATCTCTTGTGTTGTCAATTATTGTCCGTTTTTTTCCTGGATATAGGTGTTAGGTGTGTGTGATGACGTCACTGGTTTTGTAGAGAGACGCGGCAGAGATGGCGCGGATAACCCGGGTGCCTTAATTGTGTACCTGCATCGTGGAAGACCCCTTCAATGTGGAACGATTCCTAGTCAGTGTCGATGTTTACACTGCTGTGTCTAACACAGATGATCTGGATAGATTCGGGCGATTTTCAAGTGCAATGATGATGGCTTTGGTTGGTTGTTCTTCTTCATTGTATGTCCACGGACCCATTCTGACAGCACTTCAGACAGCAGTACGCTGTAGTCGACAAACATTCATTTTGGTGAAGTGCGGGACAAGGGGGGCGATGCCGCCTGCTGTAGTCGAATTGTAGTGTGTGGGCATGTAGGTCAGTTGTGAACACGCAAACCTGCTGCAGGGATTGTAGGTGTACCTCCTTGGGCTTGTGTACCCTTTTCTTGCTAATAGTGTGCGTGTTCTTTAGATCTTCTGATGGCTTTAGCATTTTTGTGACCACGGGCCGAGTCTTTGCTAGATTTTGGGATTAGCAACTGACACGAGTTTAATGTGAAGAAAAACAACAACAACAACAACAACCCATGCGTATGCCGCTTAGACTAATAATACGATGCATACCACCCATCCATCCATGCATATGCAGCAAGAGAGAAAAAAGGCCTGTTGTTGTCTGTCTCAACTGCTGTGCTGCTGTTGCTTTTCATGTATAACGACACAGCAGGCGACAAACTAAGCGACGCGCATCGCCTACTACGCGACGCGTGCACCCCAAAGCGACAGACACGATAGCCTTCAACCTTGTCTGAAGCAATTCAGCAACAGCAGCATCGTCACTCAGGAAAACAAAAAATAGATTGTGGCGCGCAGCACGCAGGACCCTCTTTCGCTGTTCAACCGGCCGTTTCCATGGCGAAACAGACGAGGAACAGTCAAGGCCGAGTCGTGTCGGCCACAGGAAGTGGAAGCTGCTGAAACTCGGGGAGGGGTGATGGTTTGCGATTGCCTACCGAACCATACTTGGGGCGCCACGAGGTTTACACTGTACCTCGAGATCGGCATTCGAGACAGGGTCGGGCAAGGGGTGGGCTATGCGAATAAAAGTTCCACCCACCCACCCACGGATATTGAAATATGAGACTGAAGCTAAAGCTTCAGAATCGAACCCTTCTGCCCGACCAATATCCAACACTGGCAGCTACACGACAGCCCCGCACGCGGCCCAACTTTGTCCAGAAGCTTGAGGTTTTGAATATTCTTGACCAGAAGGTAGCGCACGCAGAAATATCGCGCAGCAACAGATCGAAGCTTTGCCGAAGGATAGAACAACAAGCTCGTTGAGAAGTTCTCCAGTACATGGAGGGGCCTAATCCTTCCGACGACGAGTTAGAGCTAGAGCTAGATTGCACAGCAGAAGTTGAGGTGCGTAGGGCAAGGGGGTGATGGCGCATCCTCCATACTCGGAGCTATCGGCGGATTTTGGCCAGCTTGAAGAGTTCGCTGAGTTGTGTGGCATGGGCCTGGCAGCACACTATCTTCGCAAGGCAAAAATGGCGTTCCTCGCGGCGAATATCAGAGAGATGTTGGGTTAAGCATGATGGAAAAACGCGACAAATAGTACAAATGAGCTGCTCAAGCACGTGGTTAATTGCCATTGCGTTGTCACGAACTTGCCCCACGTTCGTTAGAGACGGGGACGATTTTCCAGTCTTCATGAATGGCATACAGCCCATCAGGGAAAACAAGCTTGGCGCTTTCGTGAATTGAAAAGCACTAATGCGCTTGCTGTGCTGTGATCCTTAGGGTCCACGACTGTACCACTACGCAGCAGACACAAGGTAAGGCAGCAACACGCTTACGATGTTGTACGATGCATATGCAGCAAGAAAAAAAACAAAACTAAGGCGGACCGTCGGTTGTTGTCTGTATCTTCAACCGTGCTGGCTAAAAATCCCAACCGTGCTGGCTAAAAATCCAATTTTCAGTTGGGGATCATGAAGTAAGAAATATGTGTCACGACACGACGACCATCCTGTATAGTGTAAATACATCATGATACACATGATAACACGATATTAGACTAATAGAGCACGGTCGTCTTCCTCCTTATACCTTATTTTCCCCCAAACCCTCACCGCCATCCGTCTCGTTGTGGCTGTCTGCCCCATTGGGGGGCGCGGGCGCAATACTTCACCCTAGTTAATCTTACCGCCCGAAAAACGCCAACGCACCATGGGGGGGGTAACGCTCCCTCCGAATACCATAGCACAAAACAACCACCCGCAACGAATCGGACGATTTCGATTTACGACCTGCTCGCACTGAAATGAACTGTTTCCAACGACTGCCGCAATCTCCAACAAGAAAGAAGGATCATGGGCAACCGTCGACAGACTGCGGTTGCCTACATTTTGGGTTCGTCTGGTTCCCATTGCAAGGCAGAGGGATTGGCCGTATCGGATACTTCAAAGCGTGCACATTTGCCTTCCCCTTTAGGCATACAGAGGAACATCACTTCTTCACCCCGTTCCCCAAAGCTAATGTGCACCACCGTCTGTTTTCACACTGAAGTTCGTCCCTCGATTGCCTGTATCAAGGCCACTGTTCATGGCCAACTCGCGTCGTCCGAAGTGCCATGTAGGTACATCCACACTATGAGTTGAGTAGCGCGGGAGCCCGTTGATCTCTCTCAAAAGATAAACCAACCGACCAATGTTGGACGAGAACGTTCCGACGAAGACGTCGGCGTGAGACATCATGCGCAGCTCGGCATGCAGTACAACGTACAGCTCATATGTCTGAGTGAGGCGGAAAGAGGTCGGCGACGGGTGTGCATTAGTGTCCTCCTGAGCATCGTGTACGTGACCACGGTAGCGGCGCTAGCCCTCTTGAAAGGCAATGTTATTCACGTTCAGCAACGAGGCCGAATCTCCCCTTCCGCGTAGGCCACTTGCCTCGAGTATCGTACGCGGGTGAAACAGAGAACGTCGAGATATGGTGAGTGAACGGTAAACGGTGGTATGTACCTGACAAAATATACAACCGTGACATTCGCGGCAATGGCTCTCTAAGCTAAACCAAACGCGAGACGTTGTACGAAAACCTACAACAGTACGTACCATGCGATGAGAAGTTGTTGGCAGTTGGTCTTTGTTTCCATCCTGAGCAAGTCCTTCCGCCCTGAATGTAATTGAGACCACACGGTCGTCTTGAACGTTGGCAAAGTAGGTAGAAGCCAGCGCCTTTACTTCCGGTAATACGCTGGGGTCGTCGGATGATACCCACAAGCCACCGATGGAGTTGGGGCCATCCACACTTCCAGTCGAATTCTGAAGGATTGACGCCGCAGCTTGAAGGTACACCTTTTGAGTGGAAATAAAACTATCACCAGTCCAGTACGGATTATTTTTGGGTATTGACATCTCGAGGACAGACGGTTGTGCGTGAAACATGGCGGCACTTGTAGGTTTTGGAACAATTGTCTCGTTCAGAAATAAGTAGGTTACGAAACACGCAAGTCGCCGTTCACTGACGACGACGTTCATATTTTCCCGCAACATCGTTACATACATTGGGCCCTTACCTCAACCTCTGTCCTCGACGCTTCCTGGAGGGTCACCTTGTCGCCCCGCCGAACGTGAATGGCTACGTAACGCACGGACCTGATTGCCACGTTATTAAAACCAGGCGTGAGTTTTTCAGATAGTTCAACTCACACGCATCACAGGTAGAGAGGTTTTTATTTGAGACTATCTTGTCGCTTTCTTCCGCACCTGACAGAATGCACGTCACTTTGTAGAAGCATCGCGTCCGTGTCCTCCTTGAACCAAGGCTGCATGTTCGAATACACATATCCAAGTAGCGCCTGTTTCCGGAAATGGCCGAAACACGGGTGCCGCATTCATTGAACAAACCCCAGCATCGATCGAACCTCTTCTTCGACGTTGAAGGCAAATACCGAAATTGACGGGTGGAAGGGACCATGTATATCGAAACACATCCTCTTTTGTCGATCCTAAAGGAATACCTAGTTGTGGACTTTTCCGTGGTGTTTGCTCGGCTTTTCCGACGAAACCACTGTGGTAGATCTCATGGCGTATTTCATAGAGCCCCATGGGATAAGCTAGTATACCATAGGTTGATCCAGCGGTTCCATGAGTATCAGTGGAGAATTCCATGGCTCACGTTGGGGCTACTTCGGACACCGCCGGCCCCCATCGAATGCCATCATGGAATGGTCCGTGGAGTTCCATGGCATTGACAAATCATGCGAACGACTTTTGGGCTCAAGACAGCAACGTTTATTGCAACAGTCCAACCTGCTCAGCAGATGTGTCACGGCAACGAGACGTTTTGAGCCTTTGAAGTGCGCCGAGTATAGGATACACTCAATCGAAATATCCTTGTTGAGAGTGAGACGAAATATCGGGGGTCACGTGAACGATGCTACAGCAATGTTGTTGAGCGATTTTCGCCGAGGCTGTTTTGTCAAGCGCCTCGAAATTTTGGATATGCGTGCGGCTTTCAAAGAGGAAGCAGACAGTATTTTCATCCAAAACCGAGGTCCAACGGGGAAACTCTAACTCTCCTGTAGTCGTTACGTAGCTCCATTTTTCATTGCCATGTTGTGAGACATTCGTGACCCTCGCATGTTGCGCGACGAGTTTGGCATTTTTGCCACGCCTTCGGTGTATCGAACTGCAGGCAACATGCACATCACCAGCGACGTAATTGCTGGTCGCTGAAGGCATAGACTAGTCTAGTCATTCTACATTGTGACCCATGCCGTTGGACTGCCGCCCGGCAAGACAAGAGAGTACTGGCCGGGTCTCACCGCAGCAGTCTCAGTTTCGTCGTGGAGCTGTGTTCTGGGGGATGGTTGTGGAACGTTGATCCTTTGGCTCTCCTCGTAATTGGCCATCAAAAACTTGCCGACATCCTGTATGATCAGGACATAGAGGCGGGTTCGAGGACAGGCACCAGAGGAAGTCAAGTGTACGTCCAACACTTGTGCGGGGCGACATTTTTCAAGTTTACAAGCATAGGCTTTTATAGGCTTGGCGACTGGTCCCATTCCTTCGTGTCGTTGACGAGACCAGGGTCCACGCAAATGACAGATTGCGACCTCTATCTGCTGTGCCGGCCGTCTCACCTCGTTGGAATCAAAGACGCACAAGCGAGCCATTGGCTGAAAGAAGCACTCCCACCCGGAGACTTCCTCTCCCTGCGTATTCACAAAACACATCAACAGCCCCGCGGATGTCCATTACATGGCGTGTTTGAAAATTCGGCTCCACACGGAGACAGGTACAGCACGCGCCACCACTTAAGATCCGCCTATATAGCTTGAGGCTCGACGCTTATTGGTTACCTCCAACCGAGCAAATGTTCTAATTTTCCAAGTTCTTACTTGGAGCAAGTATCCACCTATGGTAACCAGGATTCTTGTTCTTATTTCTACACCGATTTCCCTATGCAGGGAACACAGACATGTCTTCTGGGTGGATTTCATCACGAGACACTATATTCAGCTGTGTGAGTACAATGTAGCCGTAAAATCGCCCCCTAGATAGCAGTGCCGCATGTACGGAACGGGGAGGAGAGGTTGCCGAGAAACGCTTAGGAGGCGAAGTGGGCAAACAAGAAGAATTGGTTTACCGAGTGAGTAAATGTTGTAGATGACGCATGGGAGGGGGTCGCAATTGACGAAGAAAGTGGTATACTGGAGAGGGGAGGTCTAGAGGAGTTTAAGGAGAAGATATCTGTTGTTGCTTTGGCCGAGAGCCAAGCGAAAGAAAAGGATACGGAGGGTCTCGATGTGTACGGAAAAGATCAAAGAAGGAATATATTTAAAGATTACCTAAAGGATGGGCCAATGGATGCAGAGAAAAAGCGGAAGGTCAAACCTAGGACTGGGATATTGGCCTTTGATAATTTATGTAGACGAAGATTAAGGAAGGTAGACGATGAAGACGATAAATCCAGATGTCATCGCGGCTCCGAGAGGGAAGACCATGTCCATCTACTTGCGGAATGTCCGTGGTACAAGAAGGAGAGGGAAATGTAGGTCACTGAGCTAGCTAGGAAAAGAGAAGAACGAAAAGGTACAGAGAGATATTTGACGAATGTAATAGCCAGGGGAAGACGGTAGCTGTACTGGGGCATAGGAAATGGGATGAAAAGGCGGAAAGTGATACAGATGGGAAGACATGTTTGAGCCACCTTTTGGCAAAGTAGGAAGGAACGATTGGCCATCGATGATCGATCCTGTGGGAACAATGCTCCTTCCTGTCAAGGACGCGTGGTCAACGGTCTAACCGCTAAGGCTTTCAAAACATGAGAGAGAGTACGCCCCCGTTCGGATGGAACTCCTACGATCGGTTAGAGGCGAAAGTAGGTTAAAACGGCAAGTAGACCGTATGTTGTACGATGTGGGAGAGGAGAGGTTGCCGAGAGAAGCCTGGGAGGCGAAGTGGACAAACAAGAAAAATGTAGGTATCAACCCAGGGAGTTTGTGGATGGCGTAGGAAGAGTTCAACATCGATTAGGTTGATACGTTGGAAACGAACGGTAGGTCTGGAGGGGTTCGAGAACAAGCAATCTGCTTCTTTCGCCGAGAAAAAACACAACATAACAAAAGGATCCAAGGATAAGGAGGGTCTCCATGTGTACGGATGTTGAAAGAAGGTATAGGCGCCTACTACATGGACCAACGGATGCAGGGAGAAAATCGAAGGTTACTACTGGGAAAAACGGCCTTCGAGAACGTTGACGAAGATTCAGAAAGGAAGACGATAAGACGAGTTCAAATGCAAATGCGGCTCCGAGTGCGAAGACCGGGTTCATATCGTTTCCAAACGTCCGTGTTAGGCGACGAGGATAGAGAAACGTACATGACTGAGTTGGACATGTACAAGGAAAGGTAAAGGGAGGTGTTTGGGGCATGGAATAGCCAGGAGAAGACGGTACCTGTACTGGGGCATATAGGAAGTGGGTTGAAAAGGCGGGAAGATATGTCGATAGGGTAGATCGGTTAGGGAGAACATTTTTTTTAACACGTTTGACAAAGTACTTCGAAGTGGGAAGGAACGATTGGCATCCGTGGTCGGTCCTGTTGGAACATTGGATGCGTCCTCTCGAGGACGTACGTCGATGGTCTTACCGCTAAGGCATTCGAGACATGAGCCCTCCCCCTCCGCGCGTACAACCATTTTTATCAAGAGGGCCTCTCCCCCCCCGGCTCCAATATAAAAATAACGTTTGCTGTTTGGGTTGCCCCCAGCCTCCTGAATTCATACCTTGCAGCCGCCGCGTTTTGGGGCTTCGTTCTTATCTGCATGCGCATTGGTACACCATAAGGGCGGGTTCTTGTTCTTAATTCGACGTCGGAACTGAGCATACGTTGTTATGGCCAAGTTCTTGGGTTTTGGATTGTTTGAGGCTCAAGTTCTTTACTGTTAAGTTCTGAAGTCGTGGCGCGTTCTGTAGCCGTTGTCGGGTCTGTCACGGCGTCCATGGGCGGCAAAGTAGGAGGCGAGGGAGTGTATCCGGAGTCGTTGCTTGGCTCATGAGGAAACCGTCGACGGGCGTACAAACATCTGCGACGTCTTACCGTTCTTTTTGACGCCACGGGGCACTTGGTATTCCGAAAAAACGCCGGCGTAGCGTCCAGCCCGAAGTCGTAATTTTCACTGTCACGGACGATGCTGTTGAGCCAGAGCGCCAGGAATCCTTTCCACCAACGGCATCGATATCCAATGGTTTTTAACCGCGCAAACGATAGCAAATTAAACTTTTGATTTTTTTTTTTTTTCCGTCCCATCTCTGGCGTCGCCTGCTTCCTCCTCTTCCGTGCACACTACACGTTTGCCGCGTATGTGCACTTACACTTGTCAGCGTACACTAGCTAGACGCACCGTTCGGGGTCACACAGGAGGGGCTACCCACGCCGGGTTTTTCCTTTTTATCTTATTTTGTCCCCACCTACCTCCTGCGGTGCCTGCCCGGGATATTCTTATCGCGAGAAGGGTTAAGTCGATGCCCACAATGAAGTCCATCAAGTTAACTAACAACGAGCTTTGCAGCGCGTCGCTTCCAACTTAGACCAGGATTATTCACAGATAAGAAACTCACTGTGCCGGGACTCGAACCCATGACCTGGCCCTTAGTAGACTGCGAGTAGATCCACTAGACCACCGGGGCGGCGAGCATTCGCAATACATGTACCCAATCGATTATGTAGATTTTCAAACCGTCAACTAATTCGTGTCAAACAACAACTCGGCGCACTCGAGAGTAGTGCAACGTGTACTTCGTTGTCACGCCGTGCATACAGACACCACCACGCTCTCCGACATCATGCATATTTTATGCTCGAACCGTGGCCAAATTATTCTCACCTGCTCTAGTATCTGTTTGTTGATACTACAGTAGTTCCCAATGAAGGAAATGAGGAGGTCATCAGGGGCGTGGTTCGACGCGATGTGAACTGCTGTTGTTACCGCATCAGCCCCATCCGTGGTTATTGACATCCTGGAGAGAACCATCAAGAGACAAGCAATTTCACAAATGCACCATTGTGCACGTCGTTTGGCCTTGGACCATACTTGTCACCAAAACTCACGATTGAGGTTGCTTCCCCAGCCCACATTCCTCCATCTGTAGGTATGAGACAAGGGCTTGCAGAGTCCACTCTCCCCCGACGTGATCATGTCAATCATCCACTCTTTTGAATAGGCTTGCTCCTGTGCCGCAGTCTGCGTCGCGGTGAAGCCGAAAAGAAAGGCTACCGCTGTAGTCCAGTGGACCATCGATCGTCCCAGTTCGCATAGATTCATCACACCTTTCATCCGAATCCCAACGGAGGGGTGGGGGGTGACAGCATCATGTTCAGTCAATTGTCTCCGAGAGCATTTGACAAAGTGTCTTGAAACAATGGCACAACCTTGGCACTGGGACTAGCATGTAACCTGCCGTTCGAGGCTTGACAAATGCCTCCCGAGAGCGGAGAGATGACAAAGCTTTCACTCTCGAGAACACACCCACTCTCGTCCCTCTGACCCCTGTGGCTCGAGATCCGCTTTTGAGACCCTGTCGGGCAAGGGGTGGGCACGGAAATGACAGGGACAGAAAAAGTGAATTCAGGTCGATAGAGACCAAACTCTAGCGAGCTTGGGAATGTACATAGATTGGCGTTGGACGTTACTGAGCAGAGAACGAAAAATACCTAACGATCCTGGTCGAACCCAGCAGTGCCTGCACTGCTGCTAGCCGATGGACTATTATTGTTTGGTGGAGAACATGACTTGTTTTTCGCGCGAAGAAGGTCAAGACGACCTGACGCGCACCCGGAAGTACCAACAGTCTTCGACCGGCCCTCAGCGGAGAGAAAGAAGAGGGCACTTCTCACAGCGCCCATCCGTGCGTATGCACTGTTGATGAAGTCCACGCTGATGATCTGGCTAGTACGCACCATCACACCCGAATGAAGGAGTCCACCCGAACGCGGACCGGTAATTTAGTCCCGCTCTTTCGGCAAGAACCACATACCCCCGGGTGAACTTGCATTTGTAGTCACAAGAACATCATGATATAGTCCTGATTGATTGACGTATTTTGCTTGCCGTGAGGGATGGGCATCGCTACCGAGAGCGAGGAAGGCGTTACCCCTCGCAAAGCTTCCTACTACGTACATGAGCGTGCTGCCGTCGACCCTATCCCTTGAGCTCACCCACAGCCATATGTACCAGATACATGTCAAGAAAACATCCCCCAACACAAACTAAAACTAATTGGTGGGTGGGCCAGGGCGGATGCAGGATGGAGGTCCCCAGAAAACAAGGCATGAATACAACAAAAATATGCGTATGCATTGTACACACACAACGAAGGGACAGACCCAACAGGTTTCAGCGAGGAGGCGGAGGAGAGCATAGAAAAACCACACTCGCCACTCTGAACCCCCGCATGCTCTCACATTGGCACTGCCGCAAACATTATGACCACGCCCATTAGGGGTATAATTAACGACCAAAAATGCACCGAACATTTCACGGAAGCGTGATTTCTTAAAAATATAGTCTATGGAGGCGTTTTTCTTCGAATTCGTGAAAGGAGCGAGGCGGAATTTTTGGGCACTTGCTCCTGTCCCCGTTCCGGGTTTTTGACACAAACATCGGACAGGCG